AGTAGGGACAGCAAGGCACATATTGTATTGTTGCCATCGAGGATAAAAAGATGGGGTTTTCATCACATTGCTTGAGTTAATTCCTCTACATCATGTCATCTTACTTAATGTGTTACTCTGTTCTTCATGAACTTAATACTCTAGATGCAGGCAGGAGTCGATCGATGTGTGGAGTAATAGTAGTAGATGCAGAATCGTTTCGGTCTACTTGACACAGACGTGATGCCTATATTCATGATCATTGCCTTAGATATCATCATAACTTTGCACTTTTCTATCAATTGCTCGGTAGTAATTTGTTCACCCACCGTATTATTTTCTATCATGAGAGAAGCCTCTAGTGAAACCTATGGCCTCGGGGTCTATTTTCCATCATATTAGTTTCCGATCTACTATTTTTGCAATCTTTTACTTTCCGATGTATAAACCAAAAATACCAAAAATATTTACTTTACCTTTTTATTTATCTCTATCAGATCTCACTTTTGCAAGTAAGCATGAAGGGATTGACAACCTCTTTATCATGTTGGGTGCAAGTTGTTTGACTGTTTGTGCAGGTATTAGGTGATTTGTGTGTTGTCTCCTACTGGATTGATACCTTGGTTCTCAAACTGAGGGAAATACGTATCTCTACTTTGCTGCATCACCCTTTCCTCTTCAAGGGAAAAACCAACGCAAGCTCAAGAAGTAGCAATAGACAAGTGGATCGGGTGGCCGGATCCGAAGGGATTCAATGTAGTGAGGGCTAGTTGGGTCGGCTGGCGCTAGTGGGCTTTGGTCGTTCTAAAAAAACAAAGAGGCCTTTTCTTTTTAAAATAAACATAAAATAAAATAAAAATTGCTATAGGAAATATATATATATATATATATATATCAAATTCTTTGAATAAATGAGATAAAAACATGAATTATTTTTCAGAGGCAAATAAAATACTTTAAAAAAATATTATTATGGAAATTCCAAATAAAAGGGAAATTTGTTTTCAAACCTTTTCCAAATATTTTTCTGTTTTCCATCTCCAAATGTATTTCCAAATTTCCTCTGACTTTTGAAAGGTCATGTTCCTCCTCTCTTTATTTGGATTAGGGGATTTTGAAAAGATTCGAACTCAAATTTGAAAAGGATTCAAATGAAATTCAATGAACTTAAAATTCAAAAGGCACTCAGTGCAAATGATGATGATAGATGCTTAACTATTTGTAGAACATTCCAAATTCAAATTTGGGATGTTATGAAGCTTTCGGAGGGGGGCACCACCTGAACTTGTGGGCCCCTCCTAGCTCCAATTGACTTAATTCCAACTCCATAAATTTCCTAAATTCCAGAAATCACCAGAGTGAGATCTGAAAAAATTATTCCGCCACCGCAAGCGTCTGTTCTTCCACGATATCATATGGAGGCCTCCGCCGGTACTCAACCTGGGGATCGATCACGAAGGGCTTCTACATCAATCTTGTTGCACCTGCGATGATGTATGAGTAGTTCCCCACAGGACCTATGGGTCCATAGCAGGAGCTAGATGGCTCTCTCTCTCTAGTTATGATCTTCAATGCAATGTTCTCTCTTCGGAGATCGATATGATGTAATCCTTTTATGCGTGTGTTTGTTAGGATTCGATGAATTGTGGGTTTATGATCATCTTATTCATTGAAAGTAATATAGTTGTATTATGAACTTTATTATGTGTGGTTGTTATAGCTATGTAATGCTTTCCAATTTATGAGTTATCTTTGGCCAAGTTAATGATTAGATCTTCATTGGAAGTGGTGCATCGTAGTAGATTTAATCTTGTGGTGTCCTCACCTCATGGCAGAAGGGGTAGCAAGGCACGTATTTGTATTGTTGCTACTAAGGATGTAACGATGGGCTTCGATCATATTAGTTGATCTTATTTTGTCTATATTATGTCATCATACTTAATGCATTACTTTATTTTTCATGAACTTAATATCTGGAGAGGCAAGCATAGAAGCGCTCTCGAAGTGGAGTAATAGTAGTAGATGCAGATGGATGTCATGGCCTACTTGTCACGAGCGTAATGCCTATGTACTAATCATGACAAGAATAACATCATAACTATGCGCTATTCTATCAATTGCCCAACAGTAATTTGTTCATCCACTATATCATTATGCTCATGAGAGAGATGCCTCCAGTGAAAGCTATGGCCCCCGGATCCATTTAAATCATATTACTCAAACCCTAAATACCCTGCTGCAATTTATTTACTTTTATTTTACTTTGCAATTTATATGTCTCCTACTATCATATTTTGACCCTTGCAATTAACGAGTACAAGGGGATTGACAACCCTCTTGCCCGCGTTGGGTGCAAGTATTTGCCCTTGTCTGTGTAGGTACTACTAGGTCATTTGGATAATTCTCCTACTAGTTCGATAAACCTTGGTTCTTTACTGAGGAAATACTTTTTGCTAATATATTACTTCACCCTTCCTCTTCAGGGAAATCCCAACACATTCCACAAGTAGCAACTGGCGAGTCGTGTTATGACTGGAGGCGGGCGACGCTACGACCAGAGGTGAGCGGTGCTAAAACTGGCGCGGCGAGATGCTGGAACCAGCGATGCAGGAAGCTTCGACGGCGGCGTAGAGTGCTGCAACGGGGTGGACTGATGTTGCAAATGTCTTCTATAGCTACCGTGGATGGTTGATGCTACAAACAGCAAGGTGTGCTGCTGGGGGTGGCAAAGGTGTCGCACGCAACTCCAGAGGTGGTGCTGCAACCATCGCACCCAGGAGCTGCAAGCAGCCATGGCTGAGCTGTCGCGATCGTCATTCGTGCCGGGAGGTGTCCTGGAGACATGGGCCAGGGAGGCAGGCAGGAGACATGGAGCACAAGAAAATCATGCTCCTTTCTTCGAGAGCGAGGAGTGTGGAGGACGCGTGCGAGGTGGGGGAAGCGACATCCCGATCCGACATCAAGGAGCGATGCATCGGGCGACTTGTATGCGACTGCTCCATGCATTTTGCCGGTCGTCTAGTGCCTAGTGGTGCCTTTCTTATCTAATGACTTGGTATCAATTTGGTAAATTATCCTTTCGGGTGACCGACCAAAGTTTCTGCCGGTCTCACGCGTGACGTCAGATCCCACCAGATCATGCGCTCTCTTTTTTATTCTTTGTTTTTGCATTATACTCCTCCCTCACCTCCTGTATCTTATCCACATGGACCTCTCCTTTCTTCTACCTTTTACATGACACGTTGCTTGCTGGGAAACACTCCACTTCTCTTCCCTCATCATCGTGACACGTCGCGGCAAGCTGGGCGGCATTGTTGTTGCGTGCTGCTAGGACAAGCCATCGTAGGGCGGAGAAAATAGCCACGATCAGCACCTCCTTTTTCCTCTCCCTCTCATGCAACACTCGCCTCTGGCACACACGAGTTGCGATGACACCAAGGGCACATGCTGGAACAGTGATGGAGGGTCCTGGAATGAAGACTTGACATGTTGGGACTGTAGATTCCTTGTGCTGATGACCAGCGACGCACAACCACTGGAGGCGAATGTTAGAACAGCTGCATACCAGTGTTGTAGCCGTTGACATGAAAAGCTTCATCCATAGATGGAAAAGCTTCAACCGACCATATAGAAAGCTTCAATTGACCACTTCACAACCAAAACAAATTGCAGCAATTGACATGAAAGCTTCAACCATACATGGAAAAAGTTTCAACTAGTGATATAGAAAGCTTCAATTGGCCACTGCACAACCGAAGTTGCAACCATTGACATGAGAAGCTTCAACCGTATATGGAAAAAGCTTCAACTCGCGATATAGAAAGTTTCAACTGGACACTGCCCAACCAGAAAAGATGCAACCATTGAGACGAAGAGCTTCAACCATAGATGGAAAAAGCTTCAACACGGACTGGCGATAGAAAATGTTGCAAGGGGTTGAGCCAACGATGCACACAACGTTTTGTGCCATGTACTGCGACACATGTTGGACCCGTCACCCGCCATTGCTGCAACCGGCTACAACGACGACTTATGGTAGGGTTGCGCCGGTGATGAATGTTGGGGACCAACGAGACGATTTTTTGCTAGGTCTGGCTGTACGATTTGGTGCATAGGGCGGACTAGTGGGCACCGGTGATGCAACCGGTGAGCAGCGCCACCGTGCTACAAGCGAGAGGCGATGGAATGTCGCGGGGGCAACGAGCGACGACATTACGACAATTGTTGCGAGATGAGAGGCAAACGAGTTTGTTTGCCGGAAGAGGAAAGACACAAGGGGATCTTATAGCCACGTCGGGGAGGCATCTGACGGCTGTAGGGAGTCAGATCAGTGACGCCCTATCTTCGCCTCAAGCCATCACAGGTTAACAAAATGCAAAATACAAATGGAAAACAACAAATTGCAGCTCTAGGCTGGTGATGTAATTTTTTTTATTTTTTATTTGTGGAGAGGTGAGTTTAAAACTTTGCAGTAGGTTTTTTTTCCTACTGTTTTCTTGTTAAAAAAACAAAAAGTGATGTCTTGTCCGCTTCATTCGTTTTTACGGTGGCCATCTCCAAATTCCAAACTCGCGCGTCCAACGAAAAGAAAAGGTAAAAATCATAAACCCACTCCCGCCAGCGAACTTCAAAAGAAGCCCCTTAGCCCACCCATGTGAATGCTGTGTGTGGGTCGCCTCACCGACTTACCTTCTCCTAGAAGCCCACCAAGCACAGAAGTTTCCCCAAACCCTTTCGCGTTCTCCTCTCGGGCTAAAGAAGCAGGCGGACGGGCTCCACGGCGAGGCGGTCGTTGACGATCTCCTTTTGTAGCGGCGGCGACCTCCAGTCCTTCTTTGACCAGTTGGTAGGTTTTTCCTTTCGGTGAGGCTTTTTGGGGGGTCTCGTCGTACGGAATCGGCGATGAAGGTTGGTGCTTGCAGTTGCAGGGGCTGGAGGTGGCGGCTTGCGGAGGCGGCGAGGGGGCGGAGGAGGAGCTCGAGTGGCTGTCCAACAAGGACGCGTTCCCGGCAGTGGAGGAGATGGACCTGGAGCTAGCGGTGATGGGGGCCCGTCGGGCCCAGGAGGAGCTCGAGTCGCTGCCCAACAAGGACGCATTCCCGACGGTGGAGGAGATGGAGCAGGAACCAGCGGTGATGGGGTCTCGGAGGAAGGTGGTGCGCCGGCGGCGCGGGGCGATGTCGGCTAGGCCGGGGCAGCGGCGGTGCAGGCACTGCGGGACGACGAAGACGCCGCAGTGGCACAGGGGGGCAGCGGGCTGCCGCACGTTGTGCAACGCGTGTGGCGTGCGGTACAAAAGGGAACGCCCGGAGTATGCACCCTCTCATCAGGAGGTACGCGTTTTCCGCACGCTGTTCCTTTTGGTCAGGGAATTGGGGTTGCTTGGTAAGGGAAATGGAGGTAATGTTTGGCTCTTGCAGGGACTGGAGGTTGGCGGCGGCGAGGCGTTGGAGACTATGGAGGCGGAGCCGTCGGAGGTGGGGTCTCAGACGAAGAGGGTGGTGCGCCAGCGACGGACTTTGGCGTGGCCTCCGACAGCGGCTGAGCCGGAGCAGCGGTGGTGCCAGCACTGCGGGAAGATGAAGAAGCCGCGATGGCGCGAGGGGGCGGCTGCGGAGCAGGAGCGGGAGTGGCTGTTGAACAAGAACGTCCCGGCGGTGGAGACAGTGGAGCCGAAGCCATCGGTGGTGGCGCCTCGGACGGAGGGGGTGGTGTCGCCGGCGCTTTCTGACCTGGGGCAGCGGCTGTGCCGGCACTGTGGGACGGCGGAGACGCCGCAATGGCGCGAGGGACCGGAGGGCCGCAAGACGCTGTGCAATGCGTGCGGCGTGCGGTACAGGGCCGGCCGCCTGGTGCCGGAGTACCGGCCGCTGCGCAGCCCCACCTTCTCCCCGGAGCTGCACTCCAACAGGCACAGCCGCGTCGCCCATATGCGCCCTGCCGGGGCTCCTCATCCACTGCCGCCGGACAAGTGAAGTGTTGACAGTGGTTTCTGCCGTTTGGAGATTTATTTATGTTTTGGGTTTAAAGACCTACTGCTCTATCTACACTTCATTAGCACAAAATGATTTAGAATAAGTAGTAGGAGTACCTTGGTTTTGGTGGTAAAGGACATCCAGTTTTTGGTGGTTCTTGGCTTTTATGGTCAATGTTCCAATAAGCAGGAACTTGCTTGATCTTTGTCAACTTACGCTTCACATTATTTATGTGTTTCTGTTGCAATTAAGTAGACATGAGATGCATGATGTGCTTTACACCTTTAGTGCTTCTTCTTATAGCGCTGATGGTTTGAGCCCAATCTCAAACTTCACGTTTAGATAAATACCTTTGTGGCCTTTGAGTTCCAAGGATAAACAGTTCCGATCGAGGAATTTTAAGACATACATTGCATATGAAAGGAAAAAAAATACAGCATTGAGATAGCATGTACTCCCTCCGTAAATAAATATAAGAGTGCTCCACAGTACCATGAAATCATCTATAACACTATGCAGCCACATTTAATTAAGGTCTCCAATTAGAATTGGATCATCTGATTTTAACCGGGTCAATAATTTCTCAAAAAAAAAATCCAATTCTTTCATATTATACACTGCATCCTCTATAACACTATGTTTCCTAGATTTAAAGAGCCCACATTCAATAGAGGTCTTCAATTAGAATTGGGTTACCCGATTTTCACCGGGTCAACAATTTCTCAAAGTTTTCCCATTTAATTCTTTTATACTACTGTACACTATGCTTCCTAATTTTTAAGGCCTCGCAATTAATTAAGGTATTCAATTTAGAATTGGGTCACCCGATTTTGACCGGGTCAACAATTTCTCAAACTCTCTCATTCAGTTTTTTTTTAATTCACTATGTTCTCTAATTTTGAAGCCCTTTCATTCAATTGAGACATTCAATTTTGGATTTGGTTTACAATTTTGACCGGGCCAATGATTTTTTCAAATCAATCAGCAGCAACTGGCCTATAAAAACATATCAATCCCGCGCATCCTCCCACCATCCAAGAAAAACCATGTGATACTATAGCACCAATATAGTTCATGCAGTCAATGACGTAGATATTTCCCCACATAGATATAGGTTGGTTAGTGGATAACATAGAATCAATCACGAAAGTTCAACCAAATCATCGCATTATAAATAAAAATTAAACACACTCCATCATCTCCCCTATCCATGAAACTAAATATTCCATCAGTCCCAAACTATAAGGGGTATTAGTTTTTTGAGAAGTCAAATTTCTCTAACTTTGACCAAGTTCAGAGCAAACATATTGACATCCATAATATTTTTTTTAATGAACTATTAAACAAAAAAGTATGAAAATTCATTTCATGATGAATCTAATCATACCGATCTGAAATTATGGATTTTGATACATTTCTCTACAAATTTGATCAAACTAAAAGGTTTGACTTTTCAAAAAGTAATACACCTTATATTTTGAAACAAAGTGGTTAATTTTTTTTAACAAAACCAACAACACCAACGGCGTAGCAAAGCGCGCCCAACCCCTTCTAGTCCTGTATGATTCTAGAACAAAGAAAATCTGCATTATGTGTCCTTGGTTGGTGCACATGAAACAAATACAAGAAGTTTGGAGGATTGAGGAAAGAGTGAAAGTTCATTAGACTATTTTTTGCGAAAACGATCCAGGTTTATTATCAAAGTTCAGCGGAAGTACAAAGCATGTCAAACATAATAAAAATTACATTGAGATTCCAAAACCCCTCATGGACTTATTAGAGGAAAAATGAAATTTGAGCTCATGTTGAGATTCATATGGAATGGGGGACATATGAGCGGATGATAGAGGAATTTGGTAAACCCAATATTATGACCCCAAGGGCTTTCATAGGAAAAAGGTGCTACTTAGAAATCAAATCCACCAAAATTCTCGTGAAAATCCAATCCAAATAGACCCTAAATTAGAAAGAAAAATATATTTACAGGTACAAAAATAATCTGAGGTTCTGTAAACAGTGCTCCCTCTTTCCATGTATAGAAGGCTCACTTAATCTTGTCTTAAGTTGGGCCGAGTTAATAGTAACAATATGAAGAAAAAAAAGTACAATACTAAATGAATATATTATGAAAACAGATGTCATGATCTCATGATATTAATTTGGTGTCACAAATATTATTATTTTATTTTATTTTTTCGATAGAAACTTCCGATCTATAATCAACCACGGTAGTATAAAGAACACAGGAGTTAATAAAAATTACAAAGAGGCCCATGGATCACCTAGCAACTACTAGAAACACTGGAGAAACCTTATTGTAATAGACAGACGAGAAGTCATCGTGCTAAGAACACGCAGGATCAGTGGACTATGGCAACAACCATCGCCGATGAAAAGAGTTATAGATAGAAAAATAAAACATGTAAACAAACAAACAAAATCAGATCCAACAGAGATACAACTCAAAACACCCTCCGACAACGATAGACGCATCATGGGGATAGGAATCGGTCGTGGGAGACATTATTCCTACACTGATGTTGCAGGAGGAGAAAAGGTTGGATCTTTTCTTGTGGGCAAAGGATCCTTCGAGCCGGAGACATAAGATATTGCCGTAGGGAAAAAAGATATTTTATTCCATCAATTGATTAATCTTAAATATGTTTGACTAAAAACAAGATCAATACATGAAATGAGTGAGTTCATTCATATATTATCGTCTTGTATACATGTAGAAGAAACTTTTTTATGTAAGAAGAAAAATGTCACAAGCTAGTGTTTTCACTCGGCCATGAATAATCATTTTTTCACCGTATCAGGCTCCTGGG